TGGTTCCCACCAATAAACCACTCCCGGGAGACAGGCTACAAATCCATGCCCTGAGGCCCGAAGGCTATTGGGGTTGCACCGGCCAGCTTGAACTTCAGGTGCCGTACCGGAACTCCAAGCTCACCTACCTTCTGCAGGAGACCAATTTCCCAGGGGCAATTCGAATTGTCCCTGTGGTGTTCCCTTCTAAGCCATCCCTGATGTGGGCACCTGAAGTCGCCATGGTTTCTTCAAAATTGAGGTGGCCCAAAAGAAAGAGGGCATTGGCCCCTTGTTTGATTCGGGTTATGGAGAGTCCAGGCCTGAAAGCAGACACGATTTCCCACCTTCCACCTTTTGAAAAGGCCCGTGGTTGACTCTGGGCGTGAATTTGCATGTGTGAGTGTGCGTGTGCGTGTGCGTGTGCGTGTGCGTGTGCGTGTGTGTACGTGCGTGTGTGTGTCATTTGGCAAAATGGGTGGTTTGCTTGGTTTCGTTTCCAACCACTGAAGTGGGTACCCTAAAAGCACGCAACCCAGTATGTTTCAGCCCACCTTTGGATTCTCCTTGCTTGGTTGAAACCATTTCAAGTTGTGTGTGTATGTTTCTTGAGGGCACCCCTTGTTTGTGGTGTTTAAAGGAAGCCAGCAAGGAAACACCGAAGTTCATGTTTAGGGCTCCGAAAGAACAATCACACCCATTTTGGATGTCCTGGGGATGATGTTCCAAGAAGCGATCTGCACTTCGACTCCCTGAGGACGCCTTGGGGGGCCCTGGCTGCAAGACGTTCCTCTTCGCACAGGTGTCGCCAGATGCGGTGGACGCCCATGAGACTTGGAAAAAGCCTCACTCGCTCAGGTGGTTTGGAGCTGAATCGGTGGTTTGGTGGTTAAGGGCTGGTTTCACATTTAGCCTATAGAACGGAGGGGTTCAAATGCCCAAACCACCAATTCAACACTGGGAAAGACAACCACGCCTCCATTTCCCTTTTTGGGTTACCTCCAAAAGCGACGATCGTTTCAAAAAGCAAAGCCACGAGTACATTGGTCAACTTGTGATTTGGGGACATCCAGTGACCCCTGAAGAAGCGTGTGTTTGTGTGTGTGTGTGTCTTGTTTGAGGCTTACCTTTTCTGGGGGGCTGGTGAGGGCTGGTGACAGCGAGGGAAGCCACCCCCAAAGAGTAAGGGTCCTGTTCTTTGAAAGGGCAAAGGCTTTCTTTTGCTTCCCAAAACTGGAATACCAACACCCCCCCCCCCCAAAAAAAAAAAACGGATCCACCATTTTGATAAACTCCCACATGGGTGTGTCTCTGTTTGAGTGAACCATTGTTGGGTTGGTCTAAAGGCCAATGTTCCCAGGTCCTCCTTTAAACGCATATATGAGATATGCCTACTTGTCCGGACAAGGGGATGGACACACGCGCGCAAAGAAAAAACGTCTACGAAACCATCGCCATGAACATTGGGAATTTAGCCAACACTCTTTATATAGTGGATATGCGTGGTGACGTATTGGTTTTCGTGGGATTGTTTCCATGAGGATACCTTGGTTAGTTTGTTCCTGCTGGCTGAACTAGGGAACCCAATGTAGAGGCAACAGCTGGAACCTGCTTTGTTTCTTGAGCAGTTTCAATAAAGGCCAGTACATCGCAACGTGTTATTATCCAGAAACGTGAACAAACAAGGGCAAATCGTGGGGAAAATGGATATGTGTGTGTGTCTTGTGGAGGATGTAAACCTTTGTTGGTTGGTTTCAAGGCTGGAGGAAACAGGGGTCTCTACATGTCCCTTTTCGGTGGTTTCAAAAACATCGCCCTGTTGGCCACCATGAAGGGTGAGATTTCCCTTGGTGGTGATGCTCTGGATGGACGAAATCCTGCACCACCTAAGAAACCCTGGAATGACAATTTCCTGCAATTAGCAGCAAACAATGGTTTCGAAAGGTTTCAAAGTGGTGCTGGATTTCGTCCATCTGCAGTATCATAAGGGGAAATGACTCGGGGGAGGTCTGGGAACTGTGAGCCCGGTGAGGAGAGCTACTCCACCCTCACCTTCGCCGCCCGAGTGGCCACCAGCGTGCAGAAGGGCAAGCTGCGGATCAACCGGTCCCCGGCACCCACACCACGCGGCGACGCGCGGCGGAAAACAGGTTGGGTGGGTCTCTTTTTGGGGGAACCCTCCCACTTTTAGGTGGTTTTACAGGGAAACCGAAGGGATAGATCTAGCATGTTTGGGGGGCTGCCTTATTTTAACACACTCAAAGTTGGTACGTCCGTCAGCGTTAACTCCTTTTGGACTCCTTTGTCTAGTTATATGGGATTAGAGCTTCCTGATGGGGTAAACACAAGCGATTGCCTTCGATGGATGCCGTTTATCCGGGGATTCCTTATTTTTAGCTTGTTGGTTTAGTGTAATCATGGTAGAAAGTTGTTCTGTTCCAATTCTAGTGGAATTCCTTTGAGCTGTTTTGCGTACTTGGGCCTCCGGATTTGTTTGCGTTTCCTGTCGGGTGAGGTTCCCTTGAAGCGCGTATTGTGTTGTGCTTGTTTTTGTTTGGTTTTGAAAACATGCGTTGCTGGCTTTCCTTTATGTAAGATTCATACACAATGCTGATGCAGACTTTGTTTAAGGAGGTGCCTCGTTTCTAGTCGACTGGGTTCCTGTTTACATATTATATAAGTCTAGACTTAAGTGTATGATATGTGATATGAGTAAGGTGGGCCTTAACTGAGTTTCCCGATGCTGTCTTTGTCGGAGCCATTTGTCTGATTTGAGCATTGCATTGGTGTCAATCTAGATTTGATGCCAGACAAGGGCCTCGGTCTCCGTGGGTTTAGGGCGCCGTTCTCTGGCCGAACCACAAAACACCACAATATTTCCCACAAGACGCCAGAAAACACCACAAGACACACAGCCGGCAAGTGGATTTCCCTACCACAAAACCGCCGGCACTGGAGATCGGAGCCTAGGGGCCATGGCACGTGGCCAGTTTTGGAGAGATTGACCGGGTTCACGTGGCCGATCTGAGGGATTTACCGCAAATGAGCAAAACGCAGGGGGATGCTTTCCCTTTGCATTTAGTTGCTCGGAGCCTACTCTTTGAAACCGCCTTAGAATGGTTTTGCAGCAAGCATATACCTTCTTTTTACACAACAACTTGTAGCACATGTGATGTTGTTGCTTGGGTAATCGAATTCCAGTTGACTGTACAGCATATCAATAACTTATTATTGTTCTGATTGGAGCGGTTTTCTTTTTCTCATACATCTATAGCGATCCACATATTGAACTCCACAAGGAGCGTGACCCTTCCCTCGAGTCGGTGGTGGTCGCATCTGGCAGCGGCTATCGCGGGAACGCGGGCACCTGTCCGCCGCTGCCGCGGAAGCGGTGCAACAGCGCGGGGAATCTGAGGGAGTAGATTTGCGGCAGTCGAGTCATAACCTGGCTTAGCGTTATCTTTTCTTGGCGGCTCCAAACTCTACCTTTGAACCTTAAGATGTTCACACATTCGAGCGATGTATGACATATCCGGCGGAAAGTCTGAGTTGGAGAGGTGCACATGTGCAAAAGTACAAGTTCCGGCCTGTTTCAGACTTTGCATGGGGACTGTTGCTCTGATTCTTGTTAAATGACCCTTGTCATTGCCGGACTTAGCTTGCCAGCCCCCCCCCCCTCCCTCCCCGCCCGAGCGGCCGCCTTTTGGACAGCACTAAGGGGTGGGCATAGGATAACTTTGAACCAACAAATCTGTGCTTATAATTGATGTTTTAGTTTCTTCAAGTGCCAAGGATGGCTCAAGTTCGCTTTTGCTTTTTTGGACCCAGCAATACACCGTACTTTACATCCTTCCGAATATTTGTTTGCAGGGCGGCCTCGCAAGAGGGTACCCTAAGGGATTGATCAACTCACTTCCCCGGTTGGACTAGATTTGTTTTGTTGGCCATCGTTTGAGCAACATGCCTGGACTTGTTTGGCCGAACCCACGGGGTCAGTCACATTGAGCCCTGTATCCTGACGCGTTTGGCCGTGTATGCATGAATCCTGACGCGTCTTGGCGTCAAGTTGCTTGATGTTTGGCGCACGCCAAACTCAAAACGCCCATAATTTGCTTGCCTAATTCAGTCGGTCGAATCCGGGCGCTCGCATCGTGCTTCCAAGCACATGGCCCTTTGCAAGAAGTCAAAAAGGCGATCTGCAGCTTGAGATACGGTGGATAGAAATCTCCTGCTCAGTTGGGCTGGATGAAACCCTATGAACGCTGGGATAAGCCAACTAATTCCCAAGTGGTGAAGAATGTTGTCCATCTACGAAGGATGCCCTGTTGCTGTGGGCCAGATGACAGATCGTGCACACTTGGTGTTGGCTTTGGAAGGGAAACAGTCCCAAAAGGCTATGTTGTTAAGAAGCTCATTGGTGATCACCCCGGGCAGAAGGGCTCAGGGCGAAAGACAGCCTGCTGGCGATGTGTGCGCGCCTGGCTGTGTGTCAAGCCCCCGAAATTGCCGAGATTGTTAGTTGGTCCTGACACAAAAGCGTTGTGCCATTGTCATTTTCTAGTTTGTTGTCCAAGTGTTGCTCTATTACTTGTAACATGTTTCTTTCATCTTGGCACTACGTGTAGACTTGGATTGCAGGTCCACGTGGCGGTGATGTGTGTTTTTCTCATTCCCTGGTTTACTGGACCCCATCCAATTGCAGTGGGCCGTGGAACAAGAACAGGTTCATTCCACAAAACCCAGGGCGAAGGGTATAGGTTTGGGGTGCCCCAACAGACATCTCCTATGTCTTGCCTTTAGCCTGCTGCTTGTTTGGCTTGTTCCCAACGTGTTCGAAGAGAAGTGTCAACAGGTTCCTTGATTGGTGCCACGAAAGATGGGCTTTGGGTTTGTTTCGGGCATCAATCCCGAACCGGATAAAAGGTTTTCGGATCAAGGGTAAAAAGCGTAGCCTTATCCGCGTGTTCCATCTGGGTGGCACAGGGAGCTTGAAGGGAAGGAGCACACCGACTCATTCTCAGGCCATGGCTTTTGTGCTCGCCCTTGTGGCGCAGATACGACAGCCCGGGAGGCGCGCAAGTTGGATCTTGGCGTCTTGCGGTGCCGTTTTTGAGTCAGGGACCCCCCATGTTTATCCGCCTGGACCCTCAAAATTCCCTCAGAAACTGGGGGATGGCCCCACAATTATGGGGGGTGACTTCAGTAACAAGTTTTTATTGCCCCAACATCCCCAAAATTATGGGGGTGACTTCACTTCTTTTTCTGGGTAGTTTGCGAGGCATCCGTTTCGGATGGTTTCAACATCATCTTGTGACGATTTCCGGTTTGGCAGGGCTCCCTAGATTTCCCTTTTTTGTTTTAAACATCACCCTCTGGCGGGCCACTTCAATATGTTTGTCCTTTGGTGGAGTGATGCTAAAGGGTGATTATAGTGGTCATCATACGTTCGGGGGGTCTGTCTTTCCCTTGGAACATCCACTGAAGGTCTGAGTTGATCTGCACGAGCAAGGTGGACTCCAATGACAAACTGCATGGGGGGGGGGGACTTAGAGCCACGTTCAATATTTGTTGTGTTCGCAGCTGGCATGGGGAATTGGCGAGTCCCCTTTTCCAGCTGCTAATTTAGGGATTGTGCGCAATGTCATTCACTGGAATGTGTACATGCACTTTCCATTTCGTCTTTACTGCAAGCAGAATGCCTTTAAACATGTTGCCCCATCCTGTAATAGCTTCTTGCCCCCCGCTGGCTTGCATACATGTGTTTCTTTTTGGTCAGAAACCTCCCTTTTGGGGGTCGCCCATTTTTGAAATACCCTGCTGTGTCGTCGTCTAAAGCGAGTCCCAGACATCGCGGTAATGCCACGTGTGCATTGCAGGACTTCGCTATGGGGGTGGTCAAATTACGGCCACTTTTGGGGCGCTTTAAAGGTGGCACAAAGAGAAATATGTTTGACCACTCCCCTGTAGCGGAAATGCGAGTTCGAGGGCCACTATGTTTCTTTGTTGGTTTCCCTTCAAACCAAGGTGAAACAGGTCCCCGAAAAAAAAATAAAGGACCGGAAAACCCCACATGCTATGTTTTTCCCAAGGATGTGAGTTCAAATGTCCACACACATGTACCGTGCGCCCCTTGTATGGATGCGATTACAGAGCACCCAGATGCACAGAATGCAGCGCCTGCCACGACTTATCGCCAAAGTGCTGCGCCTGCCACGATTTCGCAACGGCATCGCCAAAGTGCTGCGCCTGCCACGATTTCGCACGCCCCCCGCCGCGCGCGCGACAACATCCTGTCCCTCTAGACAGCTGCCGAATGCGACCCCTGCCACACAAACACACACCCAGATGCACAGAATGCTGCGCCTGCCACGACTTCGGCAACGGCATCGCTAAAGTGCTGCGCCTGCCACGATTTCGCACGCCCCCCGCCGCGCGCGCGACAACATCCTGTCCCTCTAGACAGCTGCCGAATGCTACCCCTGCCACACAAACACACACCCAGATGCACAGAATGCTGCGCCTGCCACGACTTCGGCAACGGCATCGCCAAAGTGCTGCGCCTGCCACGATTTCGCACGCCCCCCGCCGCGCGCGCGCCAACATCCTGTCCCTCTAGACAGCTGCCGAATGCTACCCCTGCCACACAAACACACACCCAGATGCACAGAATGCTGCGCCTGCCACGACTTCGGCAACGGCATCGCCAAAGTGCTGCGCCTGCCACGATTTCGCACACCCCCCGCCGCGCGCGCGACAACATCCTGTCCCTCTAGACAGCTGCCGAATGCGACCCCTGCCACACAAACACACACCCAGATGCACAGAATGCTGCGCCTGCCACGACTTCGGCAACGGCATCGCCAAAGTGCTGCGCCTGCCACGATTTCGCAACGGCATCGCCAAAGTGCTGCGCCTGCCACGATTTCGCACACCCCCCGCCGCGCGCGCGACAACATCCTGTCCCTCTAGACAGCTGCCGAATGCGACCCCTGCCACACAAACACACACCCAGATGCACAGAATGCTGCGCCTGCCACGACTTCGGCAACGGCATCGCCAAAGTGCTGCGCCTGCCACGATTTCGCAACGGCATCGCCAAAGTGCTGCGCCTGCCACGATTTCGCACACCCCCCGCCGCGCGCGCGACAACATCCTGTCCCTCTAGACAGCTGCCGAATGCGACCCCTGCCACACAAACACACACCCAGATGCACAGAATGCTGCGCCTGCCACGACTTCGGCAACGGCATCGCCAAAGTGCTGCGCCTGCCACGATTTCGCAACGGCATCGCCAAAGTGCTGCGCCTGCCACGATTTCGCACGCCCCCCGCCGCGCGCGCGACAACATCCTGTCCCTCTAGACAGCTGCCGAATGCGACCCCTGCCACACAAACACACACCCAGATGCACAGAATGCTGCGCCTGCCACGACTTCGGCAACGGCATCGCCAAAGTGCTGCGCCTGCCACGATTTCGCAACGGCATCGCCAAAGTGCTGCGCCTGCCACGATTTCGCACGCCCCCCGCCGCGCGCGCGACAACATCCTGTCCCTCTAGACAGCTGCCATGCGACCCCTGCCATCGCCAAATGCTGCGCCTGCCACGATTTCGCAAACGCCCCCGCCTGCGCCTGCCACGATTTCGCACAACATCCTGTCCCTCTAGACAGCTGCCGTGAGTCAGCGAGTGAGTGTGAGTGAGTGATGAGAGTGAGTGTGAGTGAGTGAGTGTGAGTGAGTGAGTGTGAGTGAGTGAGTGAGTGAGTGAGTGAGTGAGTGTGAGTGAGTGAGTGAGTGAGTGAGTGAGTGTGAGTGAGTGAGTGTGAGTGAGTGTGAGTGAGTGAGTGTGAGTGAGTGAGTGTGAGTGAGTGTGAGTGACTGAGTGTGAGTGAGTGAGTGTGAGTGAGTGAGTGTGAGTTGAGTGAGTGTAAGTGAGTGAGTGAGAGTGAGTGAGTGAGTGAGTGAGTGAGTGAGTGAGTGAGACGGAGACGAGCGGGAGAAGGAGGAGGAGACGCGGCGCGCGGACGACGAGCGGAAAAAGTAAGAACCCCACACAAAGATGTGGGGAATAAATAAAAAGGAACGTGTTGGAAAACGTGTGATACAATGCAGATGGCACCAGTTGGTAAGTGGTTTATCCTAGGAATCATAGAGCTCCATCCATCCCAACTGGCGCCTGGCGTGGTTTTTGTCCATCCACAGGTTTCCAGCAGCTTATCACTCACCTTTTTTAAAAGAGACTCTACCTGGACCCTCCAAATTCAAATAAAGACGTGGGTTATTGCCACAAGAGACTACCTGGACCCTCAAAATTCCGTTCAGACATTGGGTGATTGCCACAAAAGTCATGGGGTGAGACTACCTGGACCCTCAAAATTCCAACTGAAACATGGGTGATTGCCACACAAGTCATGGCGTGAATTCCCCCTTATTTATGGGTAGTTTGGGGGTCCAGGCTCCAAATTTCAGAGCAGAGCGGCCCAGTGTGGATGCCTGGATGCAGGACGGGCCTGCGCTGGGATCACTTCCCGCAGGAGGCGGTGCATCGCAAGGCGAGGGCAGGTCTTAGGTCGCTTTTGTTTTAAGTGTGTTCTTGTGTTTTTTTTGTTTGTTTGTGTTTTTTGTTGTTGTGTCTTTCTTATTATTATGATTATTATTTTTTATTATCATTATTATTTGTTTTATTATTATTAATTGTGTTTTTGGTGTTTTGTTTGTTTGTTTTTTTGGTGTCTTTTTTGTGGAGGCCTAAAAAGCACATTGGGTTTGTGTCAAAAGAGGGGAACGCAATGAATCGTGTTCCTTGGAGTCTACCTAAATTGACAGGGCACCCTCAAAACACACACACACACACACACACACAGAGACTGGCGAGTTTATGAGGTACTTGAAAACCAAAATGAGTCAGATCTAAGCGTAAGGTGGTAATATGTTTGGCCGGCCCTCATATTGTGGTCTCTTGAAAAGCACACCTTCATCCTTCTGTTGGGTTTCGAACGGGATTTGCTGGTTTTCCACAGATATCGAATTGGCCAAACCCTCCATTTCGACCCAGAGGGGACAGAAGGGACAGAAGCTTGCCAGACTTTAGGTGTCTTTTTCGAGGGTAGCCCTTTTTTGGTGGTTGTCAAGGACAACCAACAGGACAACCACCATAGACAACCGTTTGCCTTACCTTGCTCTTGTGACTGCATTTGTGACCTTTGAAGTTCCTGCAACTCCCCGTATAAACAGTTTTCGGAATGGGGAGCAAATCTCCAAATCGTGGCTTTAGCGCCATCGATTGCTGGTATGGGGTACCGGGCGCCAGATTTGCTGGGACCCACCACACGTTTCCAGAGCTTCTCCTCAAAACTCAGAAAGGCTCAGCTTTGGTCAAGGGGTAGTCTCTATATATATATATATATAGATATATATGTACTGTATATGTCCATTCACTGATCCAACTTGATATGATCCAAACTGGCTGCGAATTCCCTACCCTCACCTACTATATACAAGCACAATCACTTTCAGGCGAGTGGTATGAGGGGGGGGGAGGAGGGATCCTATGCCGAATACCGTGAGTGGCCAATATCTACCATAATTTGTACCTGTAGGACGGGGAATGATCTAGGTCGACGGGAATGATCTAGGGCCCCCATTTGCCAAACTGCCAGTAGGAAATTGGGGGAGTACTTAACAACAAAAATCAACCTATCGGGGGGGGGGGGGGGGAAATGAACACATGCCATGCAAGTAAGATGTACCATGCTTTGGACCTACCCTACTCATGACTCCTTTCGCAGTGAAGGACCCCAGCAAGGGGTTCGCACGGACGCTCCTTCAGAAAGTCACAGCCCTCTCGCAGGGAATGTGTTGGTGGGGTGGTGGGGTAGGTGCTCGCAGGCACAGTTTTTTGAGGAAGCACTGTGTGTTTGTTTGGTGTGATGTTTCTGAATTGTGTTCTGACAGTTATTTATTTTGTCTTTGCTAATTTCTGTCGGGGGTGTCGTCTTGGTTAATTAGGTTTGAGACGAGCTTCCTGTTGCTTTCCTCTGAAGGGTGTTTCAGTTGGGTCGCATTCTTCAAACAATGTTAGCCCAACCCCCCAAACCCTCCCCCCAAAAAAAAGAAAGAAAAACAAGAGAAGCAGGCCCCTCCGCCAACCCCACCCCCCTATCTCCCCACCATTTTTGTCCCCCCATTTTGTCACACCCGAATCGCCGGTCAATCGCCGAATCCACGGTTCTTCGCCGGCCCCCCTTCTCCGGTGCTTCAGGTCAAAGCGAGGCTCCCGTGGCCATTCCGGCAGAAGTTGGTTTCGCCTTTCGAGGGATGGTCCGATGGTGGGAGAATCCTGGGCTCAGAAGCCGGGAAACTGGGGACCCTCTCTTCCCTCCCCACAAATTCCTACGATTCACGCAGATTGATGATTCTACTTCATGCAGATTGATCGAAGGAATCCAACTCATGACAGCCCACAGCGGCGAAGCCAGCATCGGACGGAGGCTACTTGTGTCCCTTTGCTATGTCTCACGGCTCATCTCCCTTGAACTAATGTGAACAAATGAATGATATACGTAGGAAAGGGATGATCAAGGCCTCACACACAGAGAAAGAGATGACAAATTTGAGAGTAACTTGTCAATGAAGAACGGATGATATGGGTCTGACCCTTTTGCGATTGTTTAAAACACCTGAGAAGGCCGGGGGGGTCAAGTTGGAATACCCAACTCGCCCGGCCATCAAAAGAGCCAAGTTCCGTCTTGTAAAGAGCACCATACCCCGATACCATGGTTCTACCTTGGGTTTGTAACTAAGTTCGATACTCCTTCATGAAATCACCCATTGCGACAAACCGGGCACACAAGGCAAGCAGGTTTTCAATTGGAAGCCCACAACGAACAGGCGCGGCACATGTGGCAGTGCTTCAAACCGGCATCGCTCGTTTTGTTTGGCACCGCCAGATAGGAAGATCCTTTCGAACCGTAAAATACACACCATACCCGACCCTAACATGGCTGGGATGGTTTGTTTTTGTGGTCCAGTGAGAATGCTACGCAGCGTTTGCGGAGATATGTGCACCATTTGCCCAGATTCCTTTGAGAGCCCTTGGATATTTGGTGGGCATGCGATCATGAGCACATCTCGGTAAATTGAGGGCGGGGGGACTCCTTGAAGCCTTTCATAAGTTGGGCAGGGCTTCTCACCAAAAACAATAAGTCACTTGGCACAAGATGTGCTGTTTATATCACTTAACTCGGCAGGTCTTAGCTGAATCGCCCTTACAAATTGTGTAAGCAATGGCGTTTGCTTCGGAGGGCTAAGGGCCAAGAGGGGAAGGCCTGGCAATCGGCCAGTCTGGGCTTATGATTTTGCCATGATCAAAGTCACCCTCCCAAGTTTTTGGCTCAAGGGAGACAACCGCCTGTGGGTGTGTCTCAAAATTCAGGCCCCCCTCAAAAGGTTGGTGTTCTCTTTGTTTCCCTTAACTCCCAGGCAAGAAAGGGATCCCCTCTTTTAAGACAACCCCATATTTTGACTTTTTAACCTTCCCGAAACCGTGAAAATCACGATCCCAGCCAGCCAGGATCGTCGGTTGCAGCGCCTTGATGGCTGTTGCCTGCATGACGGTGACCAGCCTCTTGCCGGGCGGCCAAACAAAAAGCCTGACGGAGTTGGTGGGCCTCGTTGTTTGAGGACCCTATATTATATGTTTTTTTTTGTGTTGTTTTGGGTAGGCGGGGGGGGGTCAAGGTGTACCAAAAAGGGCCATCCAAAACTCGGGGGGAATCGTTTGTCCCATCACCCTGGTTGGCACCCAGAGTTTGTGCCCTGTGCGTTTTTGCTTCTGGTTGTTGTAAGGGCCGGAAACCGGTACGCTTAATCGATTGGATAAATTTCACAACATGCTATTTGGTGTTGTTTGTGTTTGTTGTTTTTTCCTTTTTATGATTGGAAGTTGGTCGGCAAATGTTTCAACTATTTCGTGTGGCAGGCGTGGACGAGATGGTTTTGATGTTGTTGAACATCACTATGTACGTGAGGTCAGTCCAAACATGTGTATATATCCTGTTGGTTTTGCCGTAACACAATTATCAGCCGGTTTAACAAATTGCTTGAATTGTGGAAAGCCATTCAACTGGTGTGGAACAAAGCAATGCACAACAACCTTCAGACGATCGCCTCAAGACAAAGTAACTCCCAGTTCTGTCTTGAGCTACCTTTGGGCATTTGATTTTCCTCAAAGATAATTGTAGGTTATAGCTTTGGAGAGGGGTACGCAGTGGGCCCTAGTGTTTTGCATATGAAATGCTTGCTTCCCAGGGCGCACCCTTCTGGAGCTTTAAACACCCGCCGTTTCTTACACGAGGAGGTGCTTAGGCACGGTGGACTTCCTACGGTAAGCTCACTCCCTGAGTTCGTGCACTTTCGTCACTTTGTGGGTTTGGACCAATTTGGAAAATACAAACTCAAAGGGTTTCGTTACATATATATATACAGGAACATCACGCTCGGATATAATGAAGCGTCTTGCTGGCAGAATCTTCACGTAACCCAACTCTTTGAATAACAGTTTGGGAGCTGTTTTTGCCCCTCGATTGGAAGTTCGAAGTTCCCGATGGCCGAGTCGTGGGTGTCACAGGCTGGACAGCAGCTTCAGCTGGTGGCCCTGGTTTGTGACCGGCCTGGTGGTGCGGGACCACGGAGTCTCTGCAGAAGAAGAATCACGAGCGCGCAAGGTTCACTAAAGGCATGGTTGTTGTTGGGAAAGATTGTACATTTTTGCTTTTTGTGCTTTAGTGGGAAATCCAACCACTTCACTGCACCTCACTGCTAAAAAAAATGCTCCCCTTCCAACGTCAACCAAGAAGGGGGTCTGAAATTCACGAGTGAGTTGAACTATGGCTCTGGGAGTCTTTTTTGAGTTTGTGCCTTATGTTTTGTCGTTTGTAATGGAACACTCCAATCTAGGAGACCGGCGCTGGCAGGTTTTCCGGGACATTCGTCAAGCAAACCAAAACAAGAGATTCGGGTTCCTGGCGGAGATGACTGTCCTAAATTGCCGAGAGGGTGCCTGCATTGGGCAGACTAAGTTGTTGAAGTTCTTCGCGTGAAATGCATGTGATGGCAAAAAGAGTGATTCCTATGATGCATGATGAGGGAGCAACAACGATCTACTGTCATTGCTGCAGTAAGGGGTGCAAGGAGGAAATGGGGTTGGCACGGGGCTCACGTAGGGATGACATGATTTGGTTCCTCACCAAACCCCAATATCAATCTGGAAGTCACAATGAACATTAACATATTGATTGACTGTGGCATCGAATTCCAGAGGGGGGCATAGTGTTGCAGGGGGAACATCCCAGACCCTCCAAATGGAGTGACCCCTCCGAACGGGCTTCCGGCCGCCGAGCGTCACGAGGTCTTTTCGTCCGTGGGCCTGCAGGAGATCCTTATGGAGGCTCGAGTCGCTCGCTTCGCTTGTTTGTGACTTGAATCTTTGGATAGACAACACCTAGACCTCATTTGGGATAGATCTGTGGACACCAGTTGAGAATACTCTGGATGATACTTGGACACCAGTTGCAGGGGTATGGATGAAGCCGTGTGAATATTGGGAGAAATTGTACCTACTGGTGACTGGCGTGGATGTTGTCCGTCCATAGGGTGTTTTTCTTTCCAGCATGTGTGCATGTTTCCCATGGCACCACGCAAGCGATTCCACGGAAGCTCCCCTTTATGTCCACGTTCCTTTCAGGAGTCCGAACTTAGGAATCGCTGGTTTGGGTGTGTCTTTTTGGAGAGGTTTCCTTATTTTGGTGGTTTTGAAGGGAAACCTATCGATGGCGCAATCACCCATGTCCATTTCATCCGCCGCCTCCCGACACAAAACCACGTGTCGCGTTGACTTTAATCCTGGCATCAGGAAGAAATTGTCTACAACCAACAGCCACTCATTTTGGAAGGACTCTTTCCATTGGCACTTCTCCTCCCACCAACATGGAACCTGGCGGGTGACATTTAATAAATATAAAAACATAATATTATAAATATATATATATACACACATACAATAAATAGCAACATGCATGCAATAGTTCGTTGATTCCAATACCAGAAACGCTAACATTCGCATTTTGGCTGGCCGGCTCTTGCAGGGCAGTACCTGGCACGCGCTGGACAAGGACGAGCTGCTGGAGGTGCCGAGTCGTGTGGAAAGCTGTTCTGCCGTTGGAGCGTCTCAGCGCCTGGGTAAGCGGGGTTTCGGGCTCCGTGTCTGTGATGCTCCAAGAAACAAGCTCCAGGAACATCTCCGCAGGATGTTGGTTGTTTTTCTGGAGGTTTTCCGGGAGTTTGTTTCTTGGGAATCTTCTCAAACTAAAGCAGTGATGGGAGTGAGCCGCTTTGGTATCGCAAGGGGAATGTTCCACTCGACATGAGGCCTTCAATCCCCCGAGCCCTCAAAAACAAAACGGTCTTGGGCGTCTGGGCGCGCAAAAGTAAAGCCTTTCGCACGGAGTGGAGCGTTGTGCCATTCCATGCTTGTGGAGTCTTGTTTGTGGCCCCACGTCAAAGGCAAATCATATCCTGGAAAGACAAGTGCTGATTTCAAGTGGATACTACGCTCTCTCCACAAATCGTCCAACTAACTAGGACAGAAAGCCTAACTGAAAAGTTGCCAGTCTTCCAAAAAGGGATCCTGGCAAGTTCCATGGTTAAAGGCACATTGTTGCGATCTTGTTGAATGCGGGGTTATTAGCACAACCATTTCAGGACTCAGAGAACAAACATTTGAGGATGGATCTGGGAACGTCACAGCGTCCCCACCCTTCAACAGGAACTGGATCCCGTGGGACAGACCGTGTGTAATTAATTTCAAATTTGGCCACAGTTTTCCTGTTGCTTCCTGTTTTGACCAACCTCAATGTTTCATGGCTTCAAGGGAGAAAGGGAAGCCACCTTTTTGGGTTCCCGTCAGAAGACTTTATCGGGAAACCCACGTTTATTGGTGTTCTTGACACAGAGTGGGTCACAAAATGATCAGGCCTTGGACACAGAGTCGGCCGCAAAATGGACACAGTGTGGGTCACAGAGTGGGTAGGGGTTGGATTGCCCATTCTCTTTTTAAAAACCAGCCTTTCCCCCAGGAGTTTTGATGGTTTTCTAGAAAGAAGGATCCCTGGGAAGAAGCTACCCCTAGATGGGCTACCTTTTCCCCTTTCAATCTTTGAGTTGGGAGACGAAAAGCTTTGTGAGGCCTTGACGCAACCGCTGAGCTGCGAAGGCCCTGGTCTGTCGAGGCCAGAGGGCCAGAGCCGGGTGCTGTCTCCGTGGCTGAAGTGGTCCCAATATGTCACATACATATATATATATATATGTACATTATATATATATATAAGTGCTTTTGTTTGAAAACATGTCACAAATGTAGGCGCTTGTTTGAAAAGGACATTTATTTTTAAATAGCAATGATCAAGGTACTTAGGCAAAGGAAATCAAGAAGAAATAGCAATGGTAAAAAATCTATGCTATATGCGGTTTGATTTTCTCTCAAAGAAATTCAAGGGCTTTCTCGAAGCTGCTACTCGCCATTCGAGGTACACATAGGTACCCATGGCTGTGCCTTTCCTTCTGATTTAGACCCCACGGCCACTAGCAGTCACTGATCTAATTAGGTTGCAAGGTTGCAGTGGCTTCCTTACTGGATCTGTATAATGTGGTGCCTTTTTTGCAGGCTTCTCGGAATGAAGCCGCAACTCCCAGTAACCTTACAAATGTTACACTGGTTCTAACCCAGGGACAGGGACTTACGGCGAGTGTGTTCTATCCATTTCAGACCAGTAAGAATCCTGCTTGGGCGAAAGTTGGCGGCATCTCCCAATTTGGATTTCGCATTCCCTTTGCCCAAATGTACCAGGAATTGCGCCACTTTCAATCTGATCTGGTAGATGCAGCTGAGGGGGCGCGGATGTTTCCCTGCTGCCTATCGGTGGGCTTGTCCGTCTCAGTAGCATAAAAAGTGAGACCGCGCGGGTGCATTGCCCGAAGGCAGTGAAGACAAGGGTAGCCATGGTTGCTATGCCAGATAGAAGGTTCCACTCGGCTGCTTTAGGCTCCGTCCAGAAGGGAAGCTGGCTTAAAACACACATTGATCTTAGCCTAGGGACGTAAAGCCTCATTCTTCGTTGTGGGGTCAAACGGCCAGCGGACTTTTTTTGGAACAACGCCAACATCCTGACAAAGACGCAAGCGGCTCCAGGTGGCTGGCGATGGCTACTTTGGCGCGGGCGATTGTCACGAAGCACCAGGCAAGGGTGGCCGATCATTTTGCCGCCGAGTAGTGGAGGTAGAGTTTGGGTACTTTGGTACTCTGGTAGAGTTTACGTTTGGTAGAGTTTGGGTACTTCTTATAAGGCAATGGCGACTCAAAGCGGATAGAATGCATGAGAACAGGGCCCTGTTCCAGTCACATATGCGAACGGTTAGCTGAAGGCATTGCGTTTCTGGCTCAATGGGAAGAACGCCATCTTCAGCAACTGGGCTACTATTTTGTGGACGCGGCAGCCACCTCGATTATAAGCTATACGTAGGTTCCAAGTGAGCTTTATGCGGAGGCACCGCTGAGATTTCCATTTTGTGTTCCAAACAGCAAGCCGATGTTACTGGCAGACTAACCGGGCAACGAACACCCAAGAATGAGCGTGGTGGACACCCAAATTTGTGGGGGTTTCCTTGTGGTGTTCCTTTAAGCCCTCCCCCCCCAAACAAAAAACACAGTAGGCCCAAAAAAGACAGACCCAAACACAAGGAAAGTGAATCCACCGCGTCCAAGCAAGCACAAGAGGTGTGTATATATATATATACATACAGACATTGTAAAGTGGGTTGGAAACCAGGGAAGCAAAGGGGTATGAAAAATAGGTATGGATTTTTATTTATTTATTTTTGAAACCAGACAACCCCAACAAAATCAGAGCCAGGGCCACGGTCACGCAGCGTGGCTGCCGGAGAGTCAGCTGCCCCCCATGGCTGCTCAGGCGGGGTGGTGTCTACTCAGAGCTGAGCATAATAAAGGCTTGCACACTGGGTATGTATATATATATATATATATCTGTATACTTAAATATGTATATATATATATATATTATACATATGTATTTACATATATTTACATATGGTTACCCCCCCCATGACCTTCCTCTGTTGCTGTGCCTCAAAAGAATGTGAATGTATATACATATATATATATATATGTTAAATATTTGAACTGACACCTGGAAACATGACACGCTGCTTCGTCTGGAAATGTTAGGATTTGTACCATTGCCGCTTGGGAAGCAAGCTGCAGGCTTGTGAATTCTCTATTTGTATCTTTGTCTCTCTTTGTCTTCTTACTTTAGACTTGCCCAACATTCCGTCTCGCGTTGGATTATTGGTGCCAAATGGAGGTTCCAAGTGCAGGTGACGCCAAGGACGACAAAGCTACCTGAACCCGCAAGCTACCCAGAAGAAAAGGGGATTCGCCCCATAATTTTGCGGCAACAACCCATTTGTAGCACTTGTGCGCCCTTTAAAGGTTTAAGGGAACAACGGGTTTTGAGAGAGCAGCACAAATCACCAGGCTGAGCCCTTTCTGCATCTCTCTTCTTCCGAGCCAAAGACATTTGCAGAATTGTATAGTATGTCTTCGTCCGGCTGGACCTACAGAAGCATTTAGACACCAGTCTTTCAGAGTACCTTGGCCATCCCAAGTCATCCTCTCGTGGGTAACTGCTCTCACCATGCCGCTTGCCACGTTGTGTTAACCAGTGGGTCCGTCTTTTTTGGAGGCTACCCTCATTTGCATGCTTGATCGAATGCCTAAAAAAGACAAGCCAAGAGGAAACTCTAGCTTGATTCCCCATTCCTTTCAACCATCCTTCTTTTCAAAAACCGGATCCGTTTTCCCTGGGATCTTTTGGTGGTTTTCTAGAAAGATTCGGATCCCTGGAAAGCATTCTAAGAATGGAAATGGAAGCTACCCGTAGAGAAACCCCGTATTTTTTGGGGATCTCCACAAAAAAAAATCCCACACGCCAGCGGTTTACCCGCAGCGGCTACCTCAGCGAGTCGAAGCCGAGGTCTTTGGTCTCAGCGCCGACCTCGAAAAAACAAATCCGCCAGCGTCGGAAAAAAAACGGTCGGCTTTGGTGAATTTTGGGCCACTGGGATTTCGTCTTTTTTGGTTCCCTTAAGAGTCCCGACTCTCCAAATGGGTTGTGGAGGGCCCTTGAGGAATTGGTCAGGGTTCTCCTTTTTCAGGGTCTGGGGGTCTGCATTGCAGGGGTCATGACCCTTAGGGTTGACATATTTTAAGGTTTACCAAATATGGACCAGACGCACCCTTTGTTTTTGGGGGCGGCGAAAGCTGAGGGTAGTTTTGATTTGTTTGTTTCCTGGTGTTTGGCGTTTTTCGGGTCGCGGGGCCAAATGACCCATTTTGTCGGGTGCTTCGTGCTACAACTTAGCTTCGCTGACCTATGGCATCACTTGAAACAGTGCTTGGATGGTCAAGTGTTTGAAGTGCCACCTGGGTTGACTTCACGGGGTCTCAACGGTGGGCTGCAACCTGGGAAACTTACTCGGCTGAACACTCGAGTGCTCAGCCGGCGACGGGCTTGAAATCCACGTGGCGTGTTTTTGTGCGCATAGCAAGTCATGGATTCCTCTGCATCTCCGTCTGTTTCAGCAGCTGCGTGGCGTTTGCCTCACCCCAGCAAGGTTGCCAGGGACAGCTATCCACAAACAATGCGGTTATGAGGTTATTCGTAGAGTTCCGTGTTCACATGGACAGACTGAACTGACCTTTTCGCCCTTTTGTTCCTTTGTAGTTTCAGTATTTTCCCTTGCCAGCAACGAGTCAACGGTTTGCAGGCGGTCTGATCTATTTGGCCAAGTTCAGGCACCGCTTTGTACTATTCCATTTTTGGCCCACACCTCATTAAGCCTCTCGACGGCAAGTATTTTCCTCACGCAAGCGCGGAGAGCATTAGCAGTGTGGCCAGCCTGGCACGGGAAGCCCCCCCCAGTAGCCACAACGTTTTGCGAGCTTTGCCGAACATCGAAGCACTACTCGGAAAAAAAAGGTTTAGGGAGTTGGAGTTGATGTCAGAATGAGGTTGTTTGCCTCTTGGCCAGGAGTTCTCTACTTTAAGTATCATGTGGTTGCCCACACCAAGGCAAAAGGGGGTAACGTTTACCCCCATACCTAAATATGGAAGCGGGGTAGGGTAAACGCTGACCCGATTCACATCACCCCCCCGCCAGTCATTGATTGGAGAACAGCTCCTTGAGCTCTCGAACCATGCCCGCTTCACGCAAAAAAAAAACACACACCTGCCATTTTGGTCCGAGAGGTGGGTTGTTTGGGTCATAAATTCACGGGGCTGTTTGCCTACCATGGGTCCCATGGGTCCCACGTCTTGCTTTTAGGCGATTCCAAGGTGACGACTCTCGCCTCAATCCTTTTTCTTTCTTTGGACAGGGAGTGGCCAGCATGACCATGGATCACAAGACCAGATGCGTTAAGGTGGTTATGTGTTAATCTTTGTCCAAGGCTGGAAGTACATACCCCTTGTTCATACACCTTTGCTTCGCTGGTTTCCAACCCACTTGATAAGGGTTTCATACCCCTTTTGGGAAGAGGGGTATGAACATCAGCAGGCCTTTTAGGTTCATTTGTGCAAGGGGTATGTAAACGGGGTATGTACAAGCACCCCTGGAGTTTGGTGGTTTGTGGCAGTTTTTGTGATGTTCGTACATGAGCCAGGCCACGGCTCTGTGTTTTAGGTTCCGCGGATCAGTGGACCTGGTCGTGCTATGATAGGAGGATCTTTAGACTCCGCATGGAAGCAAATGGGCCACGTGGCCTCCCGTTACACCCCCTAAGGGTCTCAAAATCAGATCTGTTTCACCATGGGCACAGTGCCGTGGCGCCGAGCATATAACACACATTTTTCCTCTGCTTCGCTATGGAACCAAAGCCCAACAAAAAGGTTCCTTTTTTCCTCGCGCCCTGACTTGGTGGGGGAGGCTTAGAGCGAGATGATCTTTGCCTGAAGTCTCCTTCTGACCATGGTTGGTCAGTGGCCACCCAGTGGTCATGACCAACCAGTTTGACCACGGCCAGTATTTTGGGCTGTTTCTGGGGGGCCATTTTTACAGGGTCAGAAGGAGACTTCTCTTTAGCTTTCAAAGAGCCGCTGGTTGCAAGCGATGCAACACTTGCGTCGCGCGACTCCTTGCTGAGGCAAAGCTGGCTCCGCAGCAGCGCTGCAGGCTGGGAAGACATGGCAGTGTTTTTGTTGATTAAAGACAATAACTTGTTCCCGTGGTCGTGACTGAATTCAGTTTTTAGCCCCTTGTGGTATCCCTTCTGTGGGTTGGTTTAGAGGGACACCGAAAGGAAAAGCACCACTCTTCGGGTTCCTCCCATTTGGCATACCCACCTCCTTTTGCTAAGAGCCAACATACTGACTCCCAAAACAAGCAGCTTGGCGACAGCAGAGCCATGCTGTGGAGTGTGCGGGCAGTTTTCGCCAATCGCATCTTCGGTTTCATGCACATTTTGAACACGTCTGCCCTCAGAAAAAAGCGCGGGCCTGTGTAAGCAATGGGGAACACGCACGCGCCAACCCGCAAGTATACATGGTGATTTTTCTTATTGACTGCCACGTAAAGTAAAGTATGGGTCGGGTAGCAAAATCCCGCGACATCGGGTTTCATGGTGTTAGAGCAGCGAAAAACTGTTAGCTTTCTTGTAATCAGTACAAAACACAGAAGAACCAAAAGAGCACCAGCACCCACTTTTGACCTGTTTCCCCAAGTCCGAAACCCAAATGTCCAAATTCAGTCATTGTGGAGTGGTGGCATAGCTATTTATGTCTTCCTGACCATGGCTGTGACAAGGGAATCCCTTTCAAAGTGCTAGCTAGAGTACTCAAGGGGAAACACACCATGCTATCACAAGAGTGGTTTTCCACAGCCAGCCCCTTGGCCTTGCATGCGACGAGGCGGACGGGCGCAGCTTTTTTGCGGTCTACCTTCAAAGCGGCTTGGAGGCCATTGCCGAGCCATTGGCGTCATTGATCGTTTCGGATGCGAAGGACCCAAAGCCTTCTATGACCACCCCTCTTGGGTGGTTAGTCTTTGCACTAAATTATCTTCTCCTACCCTCCTGTCAATTAACATGGAACCTGACAGGGGCTCCCCCTGTCAGGTTCCATGTTAATTGGTTGGAGGGTATATGCAAAGCACTTGGACTTGTTAAGTGGAGATGTTAGCCGCTTTATAGTTTTGTCATATTCCTGCGGAAAGTGTGATTTGTTGAATATGTGAGAAAGCATGGCAGAATCACTGAAAGGTTTCCTGACATTCACCAAATACCACCAGAAAATGGTATGATGTGTTATACTTATTCATTTCATGCGCATGGTGCACACGGGCAGGGTCACAACGCATAACGAAGCCTGTCTTACATGTTTAGACAGATGCCGACTTCATATTAGTTAATGGGGTGCCCCCCCCCTCAACTGTTTTGTGCCTTGTTCTTTTTTCCGGGCCCAATAATCAAACTTAGGTCGACATTAATGTACATCCTCACTTCGGTACCTGGACCTTCAAGGTTTAGCGTCTCAAAAAGTCTTAGGGTGAGACGGTCTGGGCGTTACGCCGGGGAAATCTGAGCGGTCTTCTTTTTGAACCCTTCCTAGGGCCTCGGGATTCGAACGTGGCCGGTGTGCCAAACTCCAGCAACATGTCCAAGGTTGATGCGTTTCTGTGGCGGTTGGAGACATCACAGTTCAAACGTAAGGCGAGTTGTTTCAGAACTGAACCAAGAGATCAATGTTTCCATTTGAGTTTGTGTCAATGTCGGGGACGTCAAAAGTGGCGGTCCTTTAGACTTCCTTTGAAACCTTCCTGAAAAGCAAAAGACAGTGACATACATCCATGACATAAATCGCCCAACCCAGTCCAGTAGTGCCTTTTCTTGCCGTTTACGATCAAGGATGCCTTCGTGCGATGGTTTGCTGTGGTTGGCTTCACGTAACTGATAAAACAACACTTGGATATCATTAAATGAGCGCAACCAAATACCTCGATGCAGAAAAAAAAACACACACACACACACAGCCCATATCACAGTATGTGTATATTTCGGAACAGCGACAAAGAGTAACAACCTCACAGTCGTAAGACATATATATATATATTTCACCCCTTCCTGCAACGGGTGCTAACGCAAGCTTCGGGTCTGAATGCAGATGTGTTTGTCCAAGGAGTACCCTTTTATGTGTTTTGTCTATTTTAGTAGGGGGTTCCCCTTGCAACCACAAAAGGGGCCAAAAAGGGCACCTAGCAGCAGACCCAGCTCCGCAACTCCATAGGGACTTTGGGGTGGCAAGTCTAAGTCGACTTTCCAGGTGCTCCGTGAGTTTACCATCCGAGCGCAGTGCATCGTGACATACTCTTGGCCAAGCGCTCGGATTCGATTCGAAGGCTTCAGGGCGTCAGCCAAATTTGAGTCGTGGGCCGGTTGCGGACTCCACCGGTGAATTTTCCTTTGTGTCTAGGTCCCCTAGTAGCGCCCTGCTTTCCCCTTTTTTGGTTGGGAGGGTTCCCCTACTAAAATAGACTACAGAAAAAAGAGTGCCCTTTTTGTAGCCTCTCCACTGGAGGACCTAGGTGTCTAAGGTGTGTTTTCCACGAAAGGTGCCCTGGCACCAAAAGGATTCCAAGATCCAAGTAGTTCTATCGGGGTCAGAGGGCAACTGCGTCTCCTGATGAGCGGACACTACTCTTAGTCAACTGTCGGTTCGGGAGGGTGGGTGGCCAGGAAAAGGGGCGGGGGACACCAGCAACTTTGTTTGTTGCTCAGCATGGATCCCAAAACAGGGGGGGTCCTTTTCCAAAAGGAGATTCTCCGAACTGAAAAGGCTTCTTTTGAGGAGGTTCCGCTTCAATTTGCATGACCAGTCAGTTCTTCGATTCAAGGGCTGGACCTGAACAGGAGAATCTTCGGGTGCCCCTTCACAAGTAACGGGAGGAATTCACGAGACCTTGACAAGAGCTCGACCAGGGTACCTCGGGAGAGTGGATTCCTGGGAATACTTGAACTGTGGATGCACAGATTCCGTTTCGCACCACTTGAGTCGAAAAAACAAAAAAAACCGTTGTATGTGTCAATGTAAGGCATGATCCCAGGTCTTTTGGACCTATCAAATTAGCTGCACCGCCGCTTGGAATTTGAATGGCAGGAGTGTGTTGCAGGAGCGGCCGCGCAAGTCAAACATGGGGCCGCGCAAGTAAAGCGCAAGTGAAGCGCAAGTGACGCAGTGATGATTCATCATCATCATCATCATCATCATCATCATCATCATCATCATCATCATCATCGCATGGTCGAAAGAATCCGGAAGATTGCTAAATTTTCGCGCAAGTCGCGCGCAAGTCGCGCGCAAGTCGCGCGCAAGTCGTAGATGCCTTGGATCAGGAGTGGCCCATTTCTGTAGTTTGCATTTTCTTTGTTTCTGCAGATCCCAGCAATGAGTTGCAGCAGCCAGCAGCAGCAGCCGCAGCAGCAGCCAGCAGCAGCCAGCAGCAGCAGCAGCAGCAGCAGCCAGCAGCAGCAGCCAGCAACAATTTGCAGCGGTGTACACACCTGAGACCTCATACACTTAAGGGGCATGTTTTTGGGGGACCTCAATTTTATGAAGACCGCCGCTTGGATTTGCAATGAAAACATCCTGGGATAAGAGTTTTAATACGTTTTTTTTTTCCAGCTCACTTGAAAACCATGGTTGAAACATTTCGTCCGTCCACTGTAGTACAAATGGTTTTGGTCATCGTCTGTAATGAAGCCATTGTTCATCCTACACTTTGGGTCCAAAGGAGAATACCCGGACAATCCGGGGCGAATGGCTAGGGCAAGATTCATATGAAGTTTGAACTTGCAGTCTGATAAGTTCGGGCCTTAGAGGAAGTAGTCGCACGCTGCCGCTCAAGTGCCGGGGTTGCAGAAGTTGAAAACCAAGAACCCCAGCCCTGCAGAAAAGGTTCTTAGAGCCTTCTTATCAGGGTGACTCTATGGTTTTTTGAGCAGACTTCTTCTCTTTGCTTTTTCAGCCGGCAGTTTTTCTACCCTAGCTAGGGGTCATGACCCCTCCAATGCAGACCCCCTTGACCTAATGGAGAACCCCGCCCACATTCCTCAAGGGCCCCTCAACGACCCTGGCCTCAGTATTTTACCATGATCAAAGTCACCCCCGTGGCGGGTAGGGAAACAACACTCACCCCCAGAAACCCTCCGTGCGTGAGGCGGTCTCCGAAGACCTTAGACCTGGCACAGATGCAGGCAGGGTCGCAGGTCCTCAGCTGCGTGTGTGCTGACGTGAGGCTCCACCCTAAGGGTCCCGAGTCCCGACTGCTTTTGGGCCCTCCAAATGGTTTGTTGTTTTTTGGGCCCTTGAGGAATTGGTCGGGGTTCTCCATTGGAGGGTCCTCGGGTGGAGAGGTCATGACCCTTAGGGTAGATTGAAGCATGGAAGTGCACAAAAAGGCTCCCTTTCCAAGAGGAACGTATAGGCTTTCTACCAGGATCTGTGCACTGGAAATGTGAGGCGGTGGGAGGGTAGGGCCCGGATTTTTTGTACAGCCAGGCTTTGAGACCCCCAAAAACTGGTTGGTGGGGTGTCCAATGGAGTCTGGGCCTTCCATTGAAAGGTTCAGCAGCCTCTGGGTGCCAAGATGTCATGCTTCAGCTGGGCCCAATGAATATCGGACCTCGAAACTCTGCCCCACCTCGTCTCTGATAGCTTCGGATTGTTTGATTGATTCCCAGTTGAGATGTCAAAAGCCTCCAAACCAATCTGGAAAGGCCGTCTTCCAGCACCACAGGTAGCCAGGAAGGTTTACCCTGCTCTACACGGTAGGTATAAGTGAGGACTCTATTTGCTGGAATACCAAGAACCAAAGTGACAGTAAGTTTCTCAAGAGAATTCATACTACTGGGGTCTCTATATTCTCGAGTCTATTCTACATTTCACGGTTGGTTTACTACATTGTGGACAAGAATCAATTCAACATTTTTGCTGGGGGACACCAACCACACCGGCCCCCCAGCTCTGTTGTAGTCCTTCAAGGTGTGTGTGTGTGTGTGGTTGTTTGTTTGAGGGGCCATGGCGGATTCCCAAGACACCCTCTTTGGGTGTTCGGCAAAGTTATCGAGTTGTGACCGAACCGGACTCAAGTATCCCTAAAAGTGGCTTGTGGTTTGGCTAACCGCTTTCTAACATGGCCTCACATCCAAGTATACTCGTCTAACCATGAAAAAACATCCCTGGAAAAGATGATAAACCAGTTACCTCCCACCAACGGAAGTGCAGAAACCGTGCCGCTTTGCTTTTGGAAAGAGCTCCTCTGCATGTTCATGGTGTCAAAGTAGAGATTTGCACCCCCAAAGCGACGGGCTCACGCTTCCCTTTGCCTTCCCTCTTGAAGAAGCTCACTCCCGGAGTCTCTGGACTTTGTCACTTTTTGGAAAGACCCTGTTTAGTGCTCGATGCCAAGATGGGGAGCTGTGTTTGGCCAATCAATCCACTCACCCCCCACGAAGAAAGAATGGCCAGGGCCCAATTTGGATGACAATTTTTAGGTAAACAATGGTGGTTATATGAACCCAAGCATTGTTTGAACAGTGGTCACTGACCCCCAGGGCTCAGGAGGTGAGAAAGCGCACCGGGCCACGAAAACGTCACCACCCCCGGTGTTTCTTTTCCCGGACGCAGGTCTTGGAGGCTCAGGTCCTGCAGCTGGCGCCGCTCATGAGGAGTGTGCAGAGATTTGCCATGTCAGATCAGATGCCCCTTTGCCAGGGCTGAGCTTCACCATTTTTCCCTTTTAACAGGTGTCCTGTTTCCAAAAAAGAAGCAGGTTCGATGTGTTGCAGGAGGTCGAAGCTCGAAGTCCGAAGACCCAAGCAGCTTTGGTGGCAAATGTCCATGTCAACTTTGGGGTATTTCGTTCCACGTCACGTCACGAGCATCGCTGCATCTTGCCGCATGCAAGTCATTGGCAGCCCTGGAAGCTCAAGTTGACCAACTCGCGGTAGTCCAAAGAATCAACGAGCGCCATGACGAGCACCGGTACTTGCAAGAGCTTCAACGTGGCGAAAGGCTTCGGCTTCATCACGATGGCCGACGGCACCGACATCTTCGTGCACGCGAAGTTCTGCACGGATGGTGGCATTCCGAAGCAGGGCGACATTTTGAGCTTTACCATGGAGCCCAGCCAGACCAAGCCGGGACACATGGCACGTTGGGAAACATTTTACATGTTTGCTTGTTGTGGTCTAGTGGTTGAAATCCCCACTAAACTAAGATTTCAATTGTTGCTCCCCTTCCAATGTCAAGCAAGGACAGATGCAGGCTGGCAACGTGACCGGGGGGACCGGGGTGGCCGGGCCGGGGGGCAAGGGCCTCCAGGGATCCGGCAGCATGCAGGGCACCTGCAAGTCCTTCAACCCGGAGAAGGGCTTTGGCTTCATCACCGGCGCCGACGGCAACGACGTCTTCGTGCACCGCTCCGGGATGGTGGACGGCAGCACGCCGCAGGCCGGGGACACCATCACCTTCGACGTGGAGCCCAGCAAGCAGAAGCCGGACCAGATGCAGGCGGTGAACGCGACCGGCGGCACCGGCTACGACACCGGCAAGGCCGGCGGCAAGGGATGGGGCATGGGCGGCATGGACTTCTGGGGCGGCGGCTATGATGCCAGCAAGGGCGGCTGGGGTGCCAGCAAGGGTGGGCCTTACGGGTGCGGTGGCAAGGGCAAGGGCGGCGCCTGGGGTGGCTGGGGCGGCGGCTGGTGAGCAGCCGGCACCCAGGGGATGCTTTGGCAGAGGTTCCGGTTCCGGCGTGTTCTGAGACTTCAAGTCCGCCTCATCACCACTACAGGTGTGGTGCAGCCCCATAAGACCATCCCAATAGTCTTGAATACTCATCCCTTCATATAGCCGGCGAGGGCATCGACCCTCATTAGCACTGGCAAGAACCTGGCAAATGGTCCACCCAAGCAGAGTGCGGAAGAAAAGGTCGTGAGCTTTGCTGCAGGGAGCCGAGTTGTCTTCGCGCAGAGAAGCCGTTCACCATGAATCACCGGCCTCATCCCAGGATGTTCTTGATCAACGGAGAGGTACGGTTCCAAACAAAAAAGATGTCAAACAGTACTGTTTCAGCAGTATTCCGGCAACATTCCAAGTCACCCGGCAGATGAAGATGGTTTTTTTTGCACGTGGGTCTTGCAGAACACATGCAACTACCGTGCGTATCCCTCAGAAAATCCCGTGGATTGCAGGATGGCATCTGCTGGCCTCAGTGGCTGGATCAGCCTCAGCCCTGAGCTCAGCGGAACGGCAGAGAGGGGAATCAGTTGTGCCCTGGGGTTCTGACTCAGCCTAACTACGCATTCTTGGTCCCCCAGCAATTGGTGCCCTTTCTCACCCCTTTTTTTGGGGAGGGGGTTCCCCACCTAAAATAGACTACAGAAGACAAAAATCGGGCACCAACTTATTCTAAACTCTCTACTGGAGGACCTAGCGTTTTTCTCCAAAGGGTTTTAAACAGAGGGACCCGTTCCCTACATTAGCACAAGGCGACTGCGAGGGGTAGAGTCCAATGGTAGCAATGGGAGCCTAGGGAGGGTGAGAAGGCAAATCTGCTTTCTGTTTGCCTCAGAGTTCTTAGTCCACGTTCTTATACCCCCTTTCTCTGGCGGCAGACCGGCGAATTGCCCTTGGAAGGCTTTTTATGGGTGGCTGTTTTTTAGTCTTTGAGGAGGTTGGGGGTTGCCCCTATTGAAATGATTCCTCCAGGGGAGGAGGGAAGTTCAGACAGAAGCAACAAGGGTGCTGAGCCTCAAAACAAGCACCAGGTCGCACGGTCCAACCGAAACAAGGCATCTAGAATCAGTTGAAACAAAAAAAATCAGCGTCCAGTCGACCAATTTTTTGCCCAGGTGAAGCTGGTCGCAAAGCCCGCTCACCAAGCTGAAAGGATGTGGGAAGCCCTCAGAAACCAAGTTTCCTCTTGGTTTCCCTTTCAACCCCATCCGAAAAGGCCCTCGCCTATGGTTGCAACTGGGGTCCCCAAATGAATCGTCCCCCCACATGAGTGGTTCCAGTTGCCTTTTGGCGCCCTTTTGTTTGGGGGGGGGAGGGGGTGGGGACGGGGTTGCCTTAAAAATGAGCACCTGTTGCAAGGCCGAGATGTGGATGAGATGGGCGTGGTGCAGCGCGAAGAATCCTTGAGCAAGGCGCTTGCGCATTGCCTGCGTCGCATGTGCCGCGCGGAGGGTTCGTGGGAAGGTCCTCACGCATCTTGGGAACTCTTTGATATGGGTTTACACGGTTGAGGTGTAAATATGGGCCAGAAAATTTAGGCCGGCAGCAACGCCCCCAACAGTGGGTGGTTCCACTTAGGAAACCAGGCGTGTGGGCCTGACCAGAATCAAAGATGTGCTTTCCTCACCCTGTGGGTTCCATGGCAGCAGGTACCTAGCCTGGAAATTCACGCTGCTGGTTGATTCATGCTGAACAAAATCCTGAGCCAGTTGGTAGGTAGTGTATGCCAGAATTCACAGACTTTCATCTATTCCAACCAGTGCAGGAATTGTCCACAGCGAACAGGCGTTTGAGGGAACCGAGGAATCTATCCGAGTTGATGAACCCGGGGTCGCGAAAATTATTTCCACCAAGTTAGCAAGTGCGTAGACGTGTTAACCGCCAGTGGCTTGCATTTGTCCGGCCCCCAACGCAGACCCCTACGACGAATCCATCAAGGCCCTTTCAAGACCGAGTATTTTGAAGTCCTCCCAAAACAGTGGGGACCCTTGCAGCTCGATAAATCTGGGACCCTTTGATTTTGCATCAGGACTTGCCGGTTTTTGGCCGAGCTTCATGTTACCTGGTTTATTGGACCAAAAATCATCTTGCGGCGAAGGAACAAGGTCCCCATCTCACAGGTCATCTACGAGCTCTGCGGAGCTTTGCAGGCCTTGCAGCGCGCGGGCCTCTGCGCGGGGTTGCGGCAGCCAGCTTACGTAAATTACCCTGGCCACACACAGCTCACCCTTCAATCCTTCAATGGACTTTGGTGCATTTTGCCAAGGGATGTTACGACTCTAACTTTTGGCCAACGAATAACTAATAGGTTTTCCATTAAACCACTAAAAGTGAAACTTTTAGCAGGGGAGCAGAAAGCAACCGAGTTAAGGTTCCCCCAGAACGCCTCAAAAAAGAAGCCACCCGCCTGGGTTTTTCCCTCCAGCCGAGAAAGCCGCGAAGTTCCACGAGCCACGATGGCTCGGCTTGAGGCCTCAGCTCCCTGCGTGGCGTCTTGGACTACGCGGCCTCCACCGCCGCGGCGGTGCAGAGCACGGAGCAGGAGGCACGGGATGATCCTCACGCGGGGCTCGGGGCTCGCTCGGGTCCGGGTCGGGGGCGAAACTGGGGAAGACTTGGGATTCTAAGACACCTACAGGAAGTTCTACAGGAACCCCCTGATTTTGGCGGGAATTCGGAATTTGGCCAGTTTCCTGTAGAATTTCCTGTAGCTGGTTTCTATGAAGGATACAGTTTACATTGTACCTCTGACTCGAAGTGAAGCAAACGATAGAATATTCATTCTAGAACTGATCCCCACTCTACTCATGAAAGGTGAGGATCTTCAGCCTGTTTACCGGAAGTTACTGGCTGGTGCGGTAGGCAGGGGTCGTGCCCTTTTACCCTTTTTTGAGGGAGGGTTCCCCTACTAAAATAGACTACAGAAAAAGCGGTACCCTTATTCTAACCTCTCAAATCTGGAGGACCTAGTGGAATGAACCTAGGAATTCCCTACAGGAAACCATAGGGGATAGTTGATAGGGGTCATGGCTTTGGACTTTTTAGGCCTCCACAAAATGTCGGCTTCGATCTTGGGGCCTTCAGGGTTCAAGCAGACCTTGTTGCCTTTTTCCACCAACAGCAGGCACCAGCTATGGCGTCCATTGGCACCAGCAGGCTAAACTGAAACGTGGTTTGGGGCAGCTTTCAAAAAAGGTTCCGGAGATTTCGCTCCAGGGGTTTTGGGGATGTTGGGGAAACCACCTGGGCTTATTTTGCTTCTGGGTTGTTTTGAGACGTGCAAAGTTGGAAAATCCTTTCCCCCTTTTTGACCGCTGGCTCCTTTTCGACTCTACGAAAGCCGCGTTTCGAGGCCGGCATCTCGCGTGACCTGGCCTTCCTTGGCTTCATGTCATTGTAGACTTACCTCTTAAAAAACCACAACTGGGTCAACTTGTTGGGTAACATGGGCTAGATGTCTGTAAAAGATGAAAACTTCCCCCAGGGCGCAGGGAGTTTTAAGGGGTAAGTACAGGTCAACAGCATGTCTATCTTTTCATGACCAATCCACTCACATGTGTCAAAGCATCCTTGGTATAAGGCTCGTGGGAGAGACACTCGGGACTCAGTCAATGTCAAACATAACAAACAACTGGGAGAAAGAACCTGACTGTCCCGTGTCCATGCATACTTTTACTGCGGTTTACGTCTGGAAAGGTCCTTTTCAGACATATCTCATTAGCATTCGGCGTACCCTCAAAGTGTGGGTTTCTGGGGAGGCTGGCAACAGGGCGGGATGCACCAGTTTACCCACTGAAAAGCTCACCAAGCTTTTTGTTTGTACTTCAGAAGGACGACAGTTTTGCCCACCTATAGAACTGTGTAGCAAAACACTGCTCAATTTTCACACTATGTTAAGTTTGATATCATAAAGGCTTGCATGTGAAAATTGACTGGGGCGGGCACGCTCTTTTTCAAAGAATTGTAGAGGGAAAGGGTGTGAACATTTACGGCGACCCAAGAGGGCACAGTTTTATCCTGGTGGTGTGAATGTGCTGAGGCTCATGGTTCTCGCCTGGCGGTTGCAATATAATATGTTGGTTGTTTTAGGTGCCTTCCGGGACCTACCCCCTTTGAAATTTCATTCAGAAACTTTCTTCGAACAAGACCACATGCTCCCCGTTCGCTACTGTGTTTTCCTCGCCCCAAAGAAAAATCAAAACAACAACGGCATCCTCAAACCAAGGCACACCCACACCCTGAAAAGTTGACTTATGTTTTCGATTCTCAGGTACACCCCAGGCCGGCACCCGCCGTTTGTGATTCTATTGTATATGGAACTGAGATGACCAGTTTGCCACGAGAAGTACAGGGTGCATATATATATATATACATATGTAAGGGCAAGTTGATGCACACCGGTCTCTTATGTAGCAGCTGTATCACGGTTCGCAGAAATTCAAGTAAGGGGTGTTGTGGATTACTGATTTGGTCTAGGCCTGAACATGATTTCAGTTCTTGGCGTCCATTCGGAGCCAAGAAATGGATTCGTGGCGTTTGCGCCACGTCAGCTGGATCGGGTCCTTGAAGGATTCCTTAGGTCGGTGAAATCACGCAGATGATGCACCTCTTGTAGGAATATGTGATGGGAAATGATGACCCTCCCAGAAACTAACATGGAGTCCACCAGAGCCGGGCACCGCGGCACCCGAGTCAGAATCTATGTTAGTGGATGGGCTACTCAGTGCAGTTTCTCATGTATAGTTGGTCGACTACTACTAGTCTTTGATTCAGGATGGCGAACTTGGTGGCTCCCAGCCATTTAACACTAAAAGGCTTTTTAGCCTTTTAGTGTTTAGTAGTAGTTTCCATTTAGCCCACAAAAAGTTAGTCACTTTTCGCGGGGGATCTGAAAACGGGCAGCCCAGTGAAGTATGATTTCTTCAGATGGCAACTCGGATCTGGGAGTGCGGATCTTCTAGGGGTACCTTCCCCATTCTTTCCGGGAATCCTTCTTTCTAGAAAACGGCCGGTGTTTGGAAAGCACGATAGTTGAGAAGAATGGGAAATCAAACCCTAGAGATCTGAGAGCAGGTGCAGTTGAGCCTGCAGCAGCTGCTGATCACCTTCGAGCATTTCGGTTTGCAGCAGGCAGGAGATCGATGCGCCCGTCGGCCGCGAGAAATCCGACGCGGAAAATAGGACTCAAAGGCCCAAAATGCATGCAGCATGCACAACAAAACCCTCAAATCATTTCAAGTTCAAATCCACTTTTCAATAAATGGGCAACAGCTGGGCTGCGATCAATCCAAGCTTTTACTTAGGGGTGGTCATCAAGGCCTTAGTGCTTGTAAGGATTTTCTGAAGGGAACTATGACCATGACTCACATGCTATTGGGAGTATGCGAACAGGCTGGCGCCTGGTGAAGAATGACGTTCTGCCAGCCGCTTTCAGGTATCTTTGCAATATTCATGACGAGTATACAGCGAGCGGCAAGCACCCCAGCAAAATATATGTCACTTTTGGCGTAATATTCCCTTTTTCAACGCTTTTACGCTTCAGAAAAGACTGCGCTGCAAGACTCTTGCGCCCGCTGTTCTTGCCCGCCGGCGTCCCTTTTGCTTTGCTCCTCAAAATGATATTGTCCTTGATCCTCACATCCCTACGGTTTGTGATGACGTTCGCTGTTTTTTTAAATATAAACCATTTGAGTCGATTCCACTTGAATTCTGGTCGGCACTCGACAGCATTACCATCCGGCGCTCCCTTCGTGTTTCTGCTGTCCAGTTCCGCGGTGCCATTACAAGATGGAATTTTAAAAGACACTCTTGGGTCAATCGACGTGAGACCACTGTATGCTATGCACACGCTTGGCGGCCACTCTGGCACCTTAGCGTGCCTATCTGTTCCCGCTGCGGGTTCGGCTGCGGCAGAAGACACCGTCTTCTTCTGTTTTTAACATGCTAAATGCAGTGTCTTTGCTTCAAAGGATCTACACGCACATCGTGTTGTGGACGCCATTAGGCTTTGCGACATCATTTTGGAACAGATACAGGCGCTTCTTGAGAAGGTGTCGGGGTAGTTGTCTCACCTCATCTTGCTTCGATCCGTTTGGGCCAAAGTGCCCTCTAACTTACCCGCGAGACAGCTACCGATGACCGTGACGCAGAAGGAGTTTTGTTTCTGAAAGACCCAGCGTTTTGGAAGGCTGCTGTGCTCTTGAAAAGGGGCCCTTGCTCACTTCCATGGTTGGAAGGGTATTGCCACCCCAAGACGATGCCTGACCTCACAAAAGACTCGACTACACCTTTAGGAGTCACCATAGCACCATAGTCACAACACGTCTTGCTCCAAGAAGGTTGATGGCACACCAACCTGATTTCTCTAAGGAAGACGCACCCTAAGGGTCATGACCTGAGAACCCCGACCCCTCAAGGGCCCGCTCAACAACCCATTTGGAGGGCCCAAAAAAAGTCGGGACCCTTCGGGACAGAGATCAATTTTTCGGGTCCACATCGCGTCGATCCGTCGCTTTGAGTCTGCGGAGGTAAAGCTGCCGCCGCTTTACAAGCCAGTGCCTCAGTGACTGATCGCCCTTCTTTCCCGTGCTCTCCGTTTTGGAATGGGAGAGGGGAGCCTTCGAAAGAAGAATCAGAGGCGTTTTTTCCCCAACAGCTGAAAGCACTAAAAAGAGCATCGCGTGCGGGTGGGGATATCACCTGAGCTTATTTGTTTGTTTTCTAAGCGCTCCTTCAAAAGCCGACCGGCCGGTTTTGGCGCTTCAGGCGCATGCTGGAGGATCTGGCGCCGCTTCTCCGCGGCTGACGGCGAGTAAAAAGAGCGACTAGGTCAAGTTGTTGAATCGAGGTCTAGGTTCCCCAGTAGTGCCCTTTGACCAACTTTTTTGGTTGGGAGGGTTCCCCTACTAAACTAGAGTACAGAAAAAGTTGGTACCCTTATTCTAACCTCTCTACTGGAGGGCCTAAGGGGTCTAGCTCTAGTCCCCTGTATGGAGGTATTAAACATCATTTGTTCGGCCCGGTTCAGGTGAGTTTCCTCGGTAGGGGTGATAGAATAAAGGGGAAATACAGGGAGCGCTGTGAAACCTGCCAGAAAAGCCAAACGCAAAACCAACACCCCCAAAACAAGAGCCGAAGGATACAAGTACTAACTTTCTTTGTTCTTGTGTGTTTGTCAACTCCACCCCACCATGCCACAAGCAAAAGAACGTTCAACTCTTGCAGCTCAGTTGTTGGAATCACCCCTATCATGAGGTTCGATCTGACCGCACTAGCGCGTAGATTACGTTGTTCATCCCTGTTCGTCTGAAAGGATGCTGGGGCCCCCTCTCAATTTTGGGCAAACAAAGGTACTGTACCCTTCCCTTGAACGCAGGTGGTCCTTCCAAGTAGGAAACCAACTTTTCTGGGCAACCGTCAGGTACTTCCCACACCCCCGGAAATTACCTCATTTCATCGCCACTCTAGATTCATGAGAACATGTGTGGTTCCCATGTGTGGAATTGATCCACTTCTTGGGAGCCCCTTTATTGGCTGAGTCCTCTTCCCTGGGCTGTGTTTGGAGGCTTTTGCAGCGGCAGATTGGTCCCAGCTCGGTGTGTGCTACATCTTCACTTGCTTTGCTGGTTTCCTATTTTCCGGGGGTGTGGCCGGTGTGGCTGTTTTACGGAACCGCTTTTGGCTGAGGGTTTTTGAGGGGAAACCAGAACGACCACCGAATTCAGCCGGGCCCCCACCCGAAACTGGAGACCACCCGTGGACGGGCGTCTCCCATCTTCGGTTTAGGGTGGCATCGATTGAAATGAGCCAGTACTAGGGTATGTTGAATGTGTCTTATATATTTGGAAGAATATATGTGTGTGTGTCTTAAGCTGATATGATTTGGATTCCCCAACTTGTAGTTTTCCCAGTGGTGTCCATTTGATAGCACTCGCGCTCACAAGAGACCCCCCATGTAGTCTTAACTGGACAAATAGGCATTTGTTGAGGCACCCAGTGTTTTTTGTGCATCCCCAGACCTGTTGTTGACTCTTATTCTGTTGGTTTATGTGCTTCACAGATGAGGTTGGGTCGAACATACAGGGCCCGGAGTATCTGAGTCTTCTACATGGCACTGCATCTGGGCCTTTTTTGTGACAACCGATCTGGGGATATACCGAGCTGGGGCGGTCCTTGCGGAGGTTTTGCGGAGATTTTCCCAGTTTCATCAATGATTTCGGGGGGTTTTCCCGGTTTGCACGGCGTGGTCGGGATTTTCCCAGTGTCAGTGTCGCAGATGACGTTGCGTGCGCTTGGATGCCATCGGTTCGCCAGCATTCAGCCAATCTCATGCCGGGCAAGTCGAGCCTTGCCAGCACAAAATTGATAGGCCAAACTGGCATGCGACGGAGGCAGAACTCAAGCAGGCATTCCATTTAGTGGCTCATCTCTAGTTGCGACTGGACACTCAAGAACGCAGCCATGATGAAAGACAAATCGAAATGCCGTTGTGAGATGCAGGATTTTGACTGCAAGTTGTGCTTTTTTGAGAGCTGCAATATATATATATATATACATGCAGTGCAGAACAGTCTGCTTCATCAGTTAGATTCATTCCGCACCATTGCAGCCTGACACGTGCTGTGAGCATGTGACGCAGCTTCTGCTTTCATGACGGAACAGGCGCTGGTAGCATGTGCATGCACTGGTGTGATTCAGACGTTTTCACAATCAAGTGTAACTGCATGTCATCCTACAATCCTGTTACACAAGGGTCACCCAGGTGATATGGTCGACCCGGGATGAATGAACCTTGTATATACTAGGTCCCCCAGTAGTGCCCTTTTACCCGTTTTTGAGGGAGGGTTCCCCACCCAAACTAGACTACAGAAAAAGTTGGTACCCTTATTCTCACCTCTCTACTGGAGGACCTAGTATAGATTGGAGCGTTTCGTCAAGTAAAGATCTCCCAAGACGACTGGACCCCTCCCATTTGGATCGCAATCCGGGTTCGCTTTCCACGAAATGAACCCATGGTTGAATCCATTGTGATCGGTATTTACAAGGGAATCGAATCATTCCAGGGTTTTTAGATGCAGGGTTTGGCCACAGCATGAATCAACCTGGAGTTTCTTAATCCTGAGTTCCATTGGGCTCCCATTGCGCGTGATTTGTTCCAATCTTGGTCTTGTACGGTCATGCGCAGGATTGGAGGGGGTTCCTCGAAGTGGTAAAATATTGAAAACCACAGACCTTTCTCACTTGTCCAAAGCGCATTCGACCGATTCACCTATTGATTTACCGGTCTCGGCAGCCGGTTTCAGTCCGGATGTTGTTTTTTTTTGGAAGAAAGAACTCAAGGTGAAAACTGTGCAAATGAGAGCGTGTGTTGTTTCAGTCCTTTGGTTTCAAAGGTGATCCGCTAGCACTGTGCACCGGAAGGAGAAGATTGCACAGCTTCAGGAGGTGTGCGGCATCGAGGAGGAGGTCTGGGGAACCGTTCAGAGGACCCTAAGCAGGTTCTAACAAACATGTTCCAATTTTGCTTGCACCATAGGACCAATCTTGTGTGTCGCATCCACTATTCAGGATGCCTTGAACGTTCAGATAGCCTTTCCAGAAAGCCAGGCAATTCCATTGGTATATTTTTGTTTTGGTCGGGAAACCGGTTCGAAATCAAGCAAACAACAAAGTTTGTTAAAGGCGTTGTGTTCCTCCTGGAAATCCGATGAAGGTTTCGGCAACGGGGTTCGGTTTGGAACCATGGTCAGGCTCTTTCTTATTTGCGATGTAGTGCACATGAGAATTCACCCGAATGCTTGGCTTCCAATTGCGACATGCCCAGAGGGGTTCCCCTTGACTGGGAATGAATTGAACACCAAAGAAGGTTCTATAGCTGGGTGAAAGTGCCAGCAGTCCCCAACAACTGCTTGTTGGACAGTATTTGGGATCTGGAAAAGGCAGTTATTGGGTGCTGGTAGATGGCACATTTCACTCATTGTTTGTCCATTTTCGGGCCATTCATGGCCAGGCAGCATTCAAATTGCTGCGCTTGCGTTACACACTTTAATTAGCAACAACATGTCTTCCCTGGCAAACCATAGCCACCTCGCAAAGGGTTTTACTTGGCCTCCGAAGTTTTCTTTCCTTTTGTTTCTTTTTTTTCTGGAATTAATATACTTCACCTAGAAGCTCTGTCCTGAATTCTTCTAGCAGCCGAGCCATGCACAGTCCTGTCTTATTGTTGTGACACCCATCCCCGTGTCCCTCAAGCGGCATTGGCTTCCTCTTGGCTTTGCCAGGTAACACCCACCCAACAGCGCGTGGCTATCCAAACGTGGGGTTGATACAGAAGCACACTGATGCAACAATCTGCAAAGATCTGTGTATCTGCGCAACCCATACTCTGCAGGCAAAATTCGCCGCAGCTAAAGATAAACTTCAGACACACCCAGCGAGATGCTTCCTTTCGCATTCCTCTAGTGCCTCACCAGGCGATGAATTCTACTGGGGAGCACCCTCTGAGCCAACACCACACCCCTTTGGCCAAACATGTCTATGAATTTAAATAGGGCCAATAGGGGACCAATCTGAAGTGATAGGACATAAATCCACAGCTTATCGATGTTCACGAAAGGAACCCAATAAATCATACATACCTGGCACCCAAGAGGCTCGCACACCCGTATCGAAGATTTCTTTGACCATAGCCAGACCGAGCATACTTACCAGTTGAACTTGTTGTTGCCTTAGCTTAGCGGGAAGCAGGGTAGCTCGCTTTTTTGTTGGGAAGCCCTTACGGGGTTTCATTTTCCCCAGCCGAAAGTTCACACTTTTTGCAAGGGGTCTAAGTAAAAACCACACCAGCCAAGAGAGCTAGCTTCAGGTATCCACAATTTGTGGTTTGGATTGGTGGTTTTGATTTGGATTTGAACCCCTGGTTCTTGTAGAGGGAAACCACCCCGAACTGCCACCAATACTTGCTGGTGCTCAGCAGGAAATGAGGGAATGACCCCCATAAAGAATCCCCCTGGTTTCATTTCAGGGGACCAAAGCCTGGGTTCATTCCATTTCTCATTCCCTACCAAAACTGGAGAGGTTTTTCAAAACCTAACACCAGAACAATTCCCTATCAATAAACCGTAGCTTCATTCGCAATGCCCTGGGTCATTGTCACCTCGCCAGGTGGCGCGGCATTTGCTCGAGGCCAGCCAGTGGAACGTGGAGGAAATCGATGCCGAGCCCGAGCGGTACAGCTTGCGGGCGGACGGAGAGTCGTAACATGCCCCCCTTTTTGAAGCAGCCGCCTGAAATAGGTGATGATCGCCAAGAACTTTGGAGAGTGAAACCCCATATAATTGTAAACGCTTCGCGTTGCCCGCCTCGGCCCAGCCTAGTTTGAGGGAAGGGTCAGGAACACCGAAATCCAGTGTTGGGAAGGTCCGAATCCTACTGAAAGCTTGTGACCGCACCAGTTCGCCCGTGCTAGTTCGATGTTCGGAAGCCGTCCTGCTCGGAAGGTTTGAAATCCAAAACCAAGACTGTCAGCCTGGGCTGAGCTGCTTGGGCAGCCGGACTGGGGGGCTGGGGCACGTCAGACAGGCTTAGTAGCTGGCGTAGCTTGAGACCAGTCTCAGACACGTGAGACTGGTCGTTGGCCTGAGGCCAGTCTCAGACACGTTAGACAAACCTGACCTTGGCACGCTGGGCTGAGCCTGCTGGTGCGCTGGGAGCTGGGGGCCGGCCTAGTAGCGCCCTGAGATGCGCCGGGGCCTGGGCAGGCTGGGCTAAGGTGGGTTGCTGGTTGGGCTGGGCCTGAAGCTAGTCTCAGCCACGAGGCTGCGAAGCCATGGGTGGGTTGCTGGCTGCCGGGCAGCCGGACTACGCTGCTGGTTGCGCCTGGAACTTGGGCTGGGCGGGCTGGGCTGAGCTGTGCTTGGGCGGGTTGCTGGATGGGCAAGGCCTGTTTCATACACACTTGGGCCTTGGGTGGCGAGTTGCTGGCTGGGCTGGGCCTGAGGCCAGTGGCAGACACGTAAGACACGCCAGCAGGCGGGCTGAGGGACTGGGCCTGAGGCTAGTCTCAGGCTGGCATACTTTCAGACCAGTCTCAGACTGCGCCGAAGGGGCTGGGCCTGCTGGATGACTATGAGCAGGCGACGCGGGAACCCTACAGTTTCCTGTTCGTCTACTATCTGAAGCCGAAGAACGAAATGTTCCACATACGCTTCGAAGAGCGCTTCGCACTGGAAAGAGAAGCAGATGGGAGCGGCGCTCAGCTTCCTGGGCCAGAAGCTGTTCGCCAGCTCCACTCTGATCAACGCGAGGTGTGAGAACATCTCCTGCTGCACCTCCGTTGCAGCCGTCCACCCGGCTGTCGTCTGCAGAACGGGCGGCTTCCTTAGAAAAAGGATCCCAGCCCAGGCCCCGGCGCATCTCAGCGCATGCCAGCCACTAGGCCGGCCCCCAGCTCCCAGCCCGGAGCAGGCTCAGCCCAGCGTGCCAAGGTCATGTTTGTCTAACGTGTCTGAGACTGGCCTCAGGCCAACGACCAGTCTCACGTGTCTGAGACTGGTCTCAAGCTATGCCAGCTACTAAGCCTGTCTGACGTGCCCCAGCCCCTCAGTCCGGCTGCCCAAGCAGCTCAGCCCAGGCCGACCTCCTGCTCGCGTCTGGCCCCAAGGCTGCTGGGCTTGCTGGATGACTTGGGGCCGTGCTTGGGCGGGTTGCTGGTTGGGCTAGGCCTGTGTCAGGCAAGCTTGGGCCTGAGGCTGGGTGGGCTGAGCAGGCGGGTTGCTGGTTGGGCTGGGCCTGAGCCTGGTCTCAGACACGTCAGACAGGCCTGGCCAGCCAATTGTCAGCACATTTTCGACAAAAATGGACCCATGGAGCTGGACGCCGACGAAAGGCCCGCCGGCCATGATTTTGGGCCAGCCGACATGGGTGGGGGGGGGGGGGAGCCTGCAAAATTTTGGTCGGGGGGTTGGGGGAGGGGAAAAGCGAAGATTCTCTTTGGAGAAGAGATCTGAGCGCCCTTGGCCCCTACATGTAGAAATGTGTTTGGTCAGGACTAATTTGTTTGTTGTGTGATCGCACCCTTTTCAAGGTGCTAAATGGAGACCCTTGAGAAAAGCCATTTTGGGGATCCGATTCCTTTGTATACCCAAATACATATAGGTATCGACTGGTTTAGAATGGCTTACATATACACCACGATTGCCACCTATGTTGGCTTAGTATTGGTTTAGACATGGTTTGATATGTTGCGCACGCAAAGAAAGTTGAGGCTGGAAGGATTGCCTGCACAGGAATTTGCAGAGGATTCTCCTTTTGGTCAACCCCGTTGTTGGTCTGCAGCCCACCCCACCCCACCTAACCCCACCGCCCACCCCAACCCACCCCACCCCACCCCACCTAACCCCACCGCCCACCCCAACCCACCCCACCCCACCCGACCCACCCAACCCACCCCACCCCACCCCAATTTCTCAACCTTTTTTGTCACCTGCGAGCATTTGCTGGGGTTGGTCTCCTTTCAAGTCATAGTTGTGCAAACAGCTTGCCGGGTAAAACGGACATACTGACGAAGCTTGTCCTTGTTTCCGGTTTTGGACTTCCTGGTCACTGGTGCGGTCAAAACACCTAGGGCTTATCGGAGCTTATGGCCCTCATAGGAACTTGCCCGGCAACAGGTAGGCCAGAATCGCGTGCCAGTTGGGGTGAATGAATCCCTGTGAATACTGGGGCGTAAACTGTTTACCCATCCACGCGCCTTTATTTTTCACGTCCCTAACATGAAACCAACATGGACTCCCTCTGGGTGTGGATGGACCGAATGGTGCACCAGTCGGTAGGTGGTTTATCCCAGGATTCATGACGTTTCATCCACCAAAACTCGTGCAGGCTTCCATTCACACTATTTTACACTTTTCGACTGGAATTAAAGGCGAGCCAAAAAGAAGCCGCCCAAAAAAGCAGGAAGCTGCCGTCAATTTTGGGGGTACCCCTTTGACACATACCTATACATGGGTATGAATTTTAATTCGGGACCCTCATTTGGGTGGGACCCGATTTATGTCCAAGCACCTTTCAGGGGTTCCAACCATATCGCACAAGTTGGCGCTTTCCAGGTCCCACAAGTTGGCACTGTCCAACCATGTCCCTGAAAAGTTGTTGGCAAGGTTCCTTTGCGTTTTTGTTTTTTTTTCCAGGAGGCGCTTCACTTGCACTTCTCCGAGGGCGCTGCGCAGGCCTCAGGAAGGTGGGTGTGCCCCAAAAAATAGCGGCGGTTCGTTCTTTTGGTTCCCGTAAAAACAGACATACATATGGGGCTTGTCTCCAAATGGCATAGAAATCCACAGCCTTCATGCCCACAACGTTTTCCTTACCTCGAACGGGTCTCGGCGACTCCATGGAACTGTGGGAGTTTCCTTTAGTTTTTGGGGTGGCCGGATAGCTTGGCACTATGGTCCAAGCCTTATGACCAAACCTCGAGGGTGGGGTGTCCCGTTTCCTTTCCAGGAATCGTTGTAACCTGGCAGCAGCTCCGAAGGACAAGATGTTGGGCATCAGAGGCGCCTACTGCCCGGGGTGCTTCATCCCTTCGATGAGACCCTGGTTGCTGTGGTCATGGGCCATACAGATCCACCACAGAAGCGGCATTGCGGCCTACAACTTTGCAACAAACACCCAACACCCGTTTTTTCCTTGGTTCTTCTGATTTGCCGGTTTGTCCAAGTCGCTGGCCCGAAATGGACAATCTGCTAAATTGTCCAGCACCAAAAAACTAAATGGCCACGTGAGCACGGTGCTGTACAGTTCCGAACGCTCTAGAAGGACTTCCGAACGCTTTTTGAACGCCTTTGAGCACTGAGCACCTTTTGAACGACCGCGTTTTAGGCTGAATGGATTTCGAACGGTTTGGAACGGGTCCCGAACAGGCAAAGTAGCATCGGTGTTACATTTGCAACAACAGTCATCAGTTTTGGCAAATGTTCCGTTTGGTGTTGCAATTGTACCATTAAGGGGGTAGCCGGTAAATCACACTCGTTTCCAGCACCAACCGCGACAAACTTCGACTATTTTGAAGGTGCGAAGGATTCGGGTGCTAAAGCCAGCACTGCAGCGATGGGTGGGATGGTTTGGGACTCACAAATCTGGACAGCCCAATGCTGCCTTTTTTCAGGAGCTGTGAACACCGCAAATCGTTCCCCGACAAGTACCCGATGCTCAGGGGAAGTTTGAGCCCACTCTAACCCCACCTACGTGGAGGCTCATCAGCCACACGAGGACCTGTTCCTGGGCCGACTCTCACATGGAAAGAAGCTCGGCGCCTTTCCTCTGGCCGGTTGAAGCTGGGGTCTTTGTCATCAAAGTCAGAGCTTGGGAGTTTTTGTTCCCTGAACCTGCCCGGGGGGCTGAGTGTGAAAGTCAAAGGCCAGTCTCACTCGCGACCAAAGCGAATCGAACCGAATCTGCCCTTTTGGTTACCCCTCTATGGCCCATGTTTCGTCATGAGCCCAAAAGATGAACCTTTCTAGGTGCCCCAGTCGTGCCCTTTCCCCCTTTTGTGGGGGAGGGTTCCCCTACTAAAATAGACAGAAACAAGTTGGTACCCTTATTCTCACCTCTCTTCTGGACCTAGCTTTATTTCTGGGTCCGAACTGGGCAACTGAGCGGTGAAAAGTGCAGCAAACCAAAGCGGAGCGCTTGCAAGGTGCCGGCTGCAAGTACCTCTCCAAGTTCCAGGCGCCGAGACCCTCACTCCCCGAAAGGGGGGGGTTCCTTTTATGTCTATGTACGTTTTTTTTTTTTGTTTTTTTTTGCGTTTTCGAGTTCGCCACCCGAAGGGTCCGATTCGACTGTTTTGGGGTCCTGCAAATGGGTTGTTGTTGAGGGCCCTTGAGGAATTGGTCGGGGTTCTCCATTGGAGGGCGTCATTGGAGGGGTCATGACCCTTAGTAAGCAGAATCTTTTGGTGGCAAAGCTGTTGTAAGGTGGCGGGAATCGGCTGGAAGAGCCTGGGGTCCAGATCGATTCCCCATGACAGTTGAGAAGGAATGAAGGCTTGATATGTTGAACCACGTTTGTGATACCAGGGAACCATTACCGCCCTTGCAATAAATAATGAGTTGTTGGATAGGGCTTCAAGCTGTGTCATGAAAGTGGCCGTTCCGACCCGATTTCGGCCCATTCAAATGCTAGGTTTCGGTCGGACATGTTACCCCTGTTGTTTCCTTTCGGAAAGCAAGGTTCCTCTTGAAAAGCCAAAGGGCGTGCCT